TAATAAATAAATAATGGGAAGGCAATTCCGATGTACAGAAAAAAATAAATAGCGATATGCTATTAGTCAAAATATACAAGATCTTATGGGTGGACCTGCGAGCTTGAAAAGTTAATACTTTGTAAAAAGTACCGTAAATTATATTTAAATCAAAACGTAAAAGATAATATAATAGACGAATTGAAGCATGGGTCTTATCAAGACCAAGAAAAAAATTATTAAAAACAGACCTGGATCATAGCCGTCTTCCTTGCTTTCAGATTGTATATTACGCCCAAGGGGCGTTTTATACGTTTTGTGTGTTTGTGTGTTACCTTTATTTATTAAATACTAGCCAGCTGTGCGGCCAGCCTTCGTTTCGCTTTTAAATGTACTAGAAAAAATGCCTAACACGAAGCATTTTATTTAAGCTCAATAATTAGCAATCAAATGCTATTTTAATTCTCAGGTTTAAATGTATTCCATTTTCTATAAAAATTTTTCACTGGCCTTAAGATTTACTCAGGCTGTATATATAATTTAAAGTGTAAAGTATTCTTAAACAAACGAAAAAAACCTATGTGGTCAAAAAGAATACAATTATAGTATTTAATTTCTAAAAATTGCCAAAATTCCGCTGTGTCCGGAAAAACAGTCCAAATTTGGAAATGAAATGCGTGTCTCAAAGTTTTCAGATAAATTACACACGGCATTAACCAAATAATGTTCTTTGCAAATTTGAAATAAAATAAATTAGATAAGCTTATTCCCTCCCGGATATTTAGATTTAAAACCAACCAATACTAATCATTTATTTAGTTGGTTTTTCCATTACCTTTTTTTAGCGAACCCCAATTAGTCAAGAAGAATGTCAATCACAATTTTCATTTTATATCAGCATTGCTACTCCACTTTTCTTTTAAGATTATTAATAATTAAGTGCGGTTTTTTAAAATAACTATGTTTGTTTCCTTTTTGCTCCATTACCCCATTTCCCGACCAGTTATATGGTTAAGTGCAAAAAGATATAAAAAAAAAAAGAAAATCCATATTTACTTTCAGGCAAAGGAAGCCTTTAACTAAAAAAAACAAATATTCAAAATTCGATTTTAATTTTGTTACGGGTACCCTAAATTTTTTTTAATTACTATTTACAAATCATGTTTTTCACAAACCATAAATTATTCAACAATATCCCAAATTGTTTAAAAGAGCATATTGATTTCCGATACGCGCGCAAGGGGCGTTTTAGACGTTTTGTGTGTTTGGGTTTTACCGTTACATTTATAACTACTAGCCAAAATGTGCGGCCAGCCTTCGTTGTCGCTTTTAAATTCTAGAAAATTTAAAGAAGATTTTACTTTATAATTTTAAATTGCTTCTAAAAACAAATTAAAACCCCACAAAACTAACAAACTCACAAAAAAAAAAAAAACACACAACAAAAAAAAAAAAAAAAAAAAGAAAGTTTTTCATGTTTTTATATTACGCCAAAGGATTTTTTTTTCCCTTACACGTTTTGTGTGGTGTTTATTATTAATACCAGTGCTTCGCACTAAATAAAATTCAATTCACTGCAATAACGCAAAAATCATTAAAAAGAGCTATCTTTAGGACTTTTCCGATACCTTTCTCCGCATGCTGAATAGGTGGGTTTTTTTTCAAGGGCACAGTGTTTTGTATTAAATATCATTGCTCGCAACGTGAAATCATTGATTTTTCCCTCAAAATCTCATACATGCTTTACAAAATAGGAAGCAGATAAAAAAGAAATTTCGTTCCCAGATATATTCGGGTTGAGACGTAGCACTGGAAATTAGATGTTTTTTATCACAACGAGGAAACATTATTATTTGTTTTGATTCTTCCAATCTTAATTTCATTAAATATAAAAAAACAAAGGCGGTCTAAAAATAGCTTTTTGCTACGTGGCAACACTCACAACCAAATTGTGAACGATCGAGATAACAATGCCAAAGAGCTTATTAATGTCGCCCTTTGGGGCTATATTAATATATAGGTATATATTAGAATATGCTACTCATGTTCTTCGCATGTAACTGCCCCAAGAGCAATTATACTTTCCGATACATTTTATTTTTTCCCTATTAAATCTGCTTTTTCCTTCCCATAATTTAAAATAAAAGAAACAAGTTTAAAATTAATTTAAGGTATATATGCAATATTAAATATCTTCATGCATAATAAATATGAAAAGGGGCCTTTTTTTTTCTGAAACGCCGCAATGCCAACGTAAGCATTAATTCGCCCATTGCTCAATATACCATCTTCATTTGAAATGCTTGTAACCTAAGCAAGAAAAACTAAAGCTACGTTTGAAACTCATATAGAAAATTTTTAATCTGTTTATTTGATAAATGCGAACATTGTTGCGTTTTTACACCGCCAACTAATTAATTTTTTTGTAGCACTTGTAATGAGTATTGTTCCAAAAGGAATATTATAGTGCCAAACAGGCGATATCTCGCCAGAAACTATACTTTTCCAGAATGCTTCGTAAAGAGAATGGGGCCGCAGGGGGCCCATTCTTTGGCGAGCTCGAGCTGTCAGGCCCCGTAGATGGATCGCCAGGAGACTGCGCCCCTAATTTCATTTGCACCCTCATTCGAGCGATTCGGGGGAGGGAGGCTCAATTGATTAATAATTCCTTGTGACAAAAAAGGAAAAACAACAAATGTTGAAAAAAAGTGAAATGACACTCCTTTATAGGAGCTCGATGGTAAATTGTAGTTACAAACCGCAAAAGAAAATGAGAACAACTCTCCCTGACTGCGTTCGCTATGTCGGCTTGTCAGTAAATCAGTTTTCATCAGACATTGTGCACGATCTATCATTATTTGGATTAAATTATGTATGAAAAGACTGAAGCGTGTGATAAAGTTTATACTCTTCTCATAGCATTTACCATTCAGCATTTATTAACAAGTAACTCGTGTTTTCTCTTTCGATTTTCGACTAGAAGAGTAGGCAGTTTTACCTTGAATATAATATAAGCATTTATCATCTCAGTGTTTCGACTGATTAGATTAAAAGTGAAGGTAATAACCATCCAAAACTTTTGTCACATTCTACAATTTTCGGTAAGACAAATGTGATCTACTGGGCATTCTGGGCTATTACTGAAAAAAGGATAACTAATGGGCTCCTCGAGCCTTTTAACTTAGAAAAGTGCACTGCTCGTGGTAAGTACATCAAACCACGTTACTTTAAAAAATATTTTAGATTCCTGAATCGAGTGTTAAGGAAAACTAATTGAAAGAAATCTTTCGGGAAGGATAAAAAAATCCCACAAATTTATTTTAGCAAGAAATTTTGGATATCTTGGGTCTGAGCCAGTCTGAGGGAATTTGCAACATGAAATGTCCTGAATGTCTTTTCGCCATTTGTCCACGTGGAAATTTGTGTTGGTTTGCATCGCTGTCCATTATTTTGACATATAGTTTACTTCGAATTGCTTCTGCAAAAAGGAGATGTTTCATGTTTTTTAATGTAGTAATAAATTCAGATTTTGTGATTGTTAGGTATTGGGTAGGTATGGCATTGCACATTTATTCTTGGTCTACGAAGAAGTCACTTCCACAGATATGAAAACATGCTCAATCGCAAGTGCTTGCTATACAACTGCGTTGCAGAATTACATAATTCCAGAACTGCACCAGTGAAATGTCATTAACGACACTGATGGATGCAAGATAGTGCTCCTCCAACGTCACTACATTTGTTCGGCAATCAAACGATGTCCTTTGTCACTTATCCTTAACCATTTTAAGCCTCCATGCCCATTGTGGTCCATACAGTGGTGATACATTTCCGTCGGCATTTATTAATGTGACCTATAATGAACTCTTGGTCACAAAAACCTTTGTAAGATTTGTGAATTTCCCAGCGTGACTATGTAATTTTCATGTATTTCATGTCTTTCAATCGAAAAGCTGTTAATAGAACAGCGAGGATATCCGCTTAGTCCTCCCCCCAACCCAAGCTAATTGACGTGGTCAGTATTACAAACGTTTAGTAAGGGCCGTATCACACATTCAAAACACTTCGGAAGAATAACTGTTCAATAATTTTTCTGATTTCTTACATAATATACAAGAGCCAGTCACCATGGATGACTTTGGGGTTACCATATAGAGAAACCTGGCTCTTCATTGCCGTAGTCTGTTACTTTAGAACAGGCATTTCAAGGCCATTTCTTTCCTTCGCGGACTATAATTCGTAACCATGACAACAGCTGCTGCGAAAGAAATGTTCGAATCCTCCAATTTGCCTAATGCCTTTGTACGGCGATGTCGACACACGTGGCGATCGTCAATGAAAGGAGTGTCGTTACGACCTTGAAGTGCCTAATTTAAAATTGTAGACTATAAGAGACTACAAACAAAAGAATCCCATTCAAAGTTCTTTAGTTTGATGCTGATTGAGTGAAAAAGTATTACCCACACCTTTTTAAAGAAGGGAGGAAAAAATCGTGTTTCTTGCAATGATAAAGCTGGTATAGAAATAGTTTAAAACAATCATTTGTCCAAAACAAACTAATGCATGATAAAGCCTTAAGAGTGCTTTTTTTCTTTGCGTATGTATTTTGTGAAATTGATTTTTTACAGACTGTTTTACTTCTTAAATTTATTAAATTTTCAGATTTTGTGACAATATTATGCTATTAATCTTATATTAATAATTTATAAAACCTGGTTTTCCTAAACTTTAGCTTAAAATTTAGAAGACTTTTAAACTGAAATGTACTAAGATGTGAGTGATAACATAGTACTTGACTTGGACTATCATAAATCCAGTTATCTGTTAGGTGAAATAGATAATGTGGTAATAAAATAGATAATGTGGTTATCTGTTAGGTGAAAGTGATGAAGCATATTTTTTTTTAAACAGATATTGTTAAAAAAAAACATGGACATTTAGAATAGAATACAGTGATAACAAAAAGATCATAATTTTCTCATTTGAAACACCACATTCTAGAAAATAAAATTTTATTTTACCTTCAAGTATTTGACGAATTGCAACAACTTTCTGTACCCACTGTTGAGAAAACTTCAGAAAACTTGAACGCAAAATTCGCCTAAACTGGTAAAGCACGGAGAAGAAAGACAAATAATTGTACGTTATTAACTATACCAAACAATACCTTGCATAATAATAATAAATGTTACTAATTATCAGCAAATTCGTATTAATGTGCAATATGTAAATTTATATAGGATGCTGATTCATATAATTGACTAAAATTACAATAAAATTATAAATAATTTATCTTATATAAAAAAAGACGTGTTTACTGGATAACTAAGCTGGATAAGCTTACGTTTGCCCATTCTTTTAATGACTGAAGTAATTTTTCCAAAGTAGACTTTGAAATTATCTTAAACATCCAACCTGATTTCACATTTATTTTTATAAAGCTGTTGAAAATCTAAAGTCAAGTTCCTAAGATAAGCCGCAACAACGGTACAGTTCAGCTACTTTATTGTTACTAGACCTAGAGACTTTTGAATTAGATCCATAGCAAAATCAACGAATTTCTTCAAGAAATTTCTCAGCGCTTCTGTAAGGTATAAGCGATAAGCAACGGAGGACGTGGGCACTGTCCCTTTACCAAAAGGTTAATCGGTATAGCACCACGTCCACCTATATCTAGAGCCTAAAGAGGAATCACAAGGACGCACGCACCGGGCTCCCAAACCCAAAGCCAAATTCAACCCGGGGGCAGTCCAACAGACCAAATGCCCCACGAAAGACAGTCCTAACAACCGCCCAGGCCCCACATTTATTAATAAAATAAAACAAAAGCGTGCAGGGCCAAAAAGGGCGAGTTTTGACAATAAGCAAAAATTTTACAAAGGTGTAATACACACAAATATAGAATATACATAAGCTAAAGTACAGTCTGATGTTGGGCAGCCCAATAATATACAATGAGTAAAATATAGACAGTAGAATTAAACTTAATGACAATATAACATAAAAATAGAGAACATAGTGACATAATGAATGTAAATGATTACAGCAATACACAGAGGATATACCAAAAGAAAAAAAATAAAAAATAATACAATAGCCATCAGTGTGTGACTGGAAGTACTGATACATGGGAAATGCGTAAAGCATTCAGAATTCGACTTAATTCAGAAGACTGGATCGGGATACATTGCATAGCCAAGTACATATATTTGACAAAACAACATATTGAAAGTCAGTGTAATAAACTAGATATTCGCTATGACAAAGTCATGTTACAATACCGCAGGTAGTGATGTGATACAGAAGAAGTAGGTAGCGTACAATATAATTTGATCTCGGTACGCATTCAATCCCTATAGTACAACAATAGTTAGGAAAAAGGAATATGTTATACAAAATATATTTAGCATGCAACTGTGTTTAAGATATACAAAGGTCGATACATTGGTTACTACCAATTATGGTACAGGATTCGTACCAAACTTAGTAACTGAATGCAATAGCGGTACAATACAATTGATCACGTGGTATTGTGGGAAAAACATGCAATAAGGCTAATTATACGATTATGAGGAATAAAAATAACATATTTAGCCTGCATAAAAGTTAACGAATATAAGATACCATACTATACAATATTACAATACAATACAATACAATACAAAAAAAAAAAAAAAAAAAATTATTTAACCTGTACTAAAAGCAACTGATAAAAGATACTATACAATACTATACAATACCACAATACAATACGATACAGTAGATACAATACCACAATACAATACGATACAGTTTGATACGATACGATACAGTATTGATACAATACGATACAGTATTGTACTGCTGTACAATACTATACAATGAAAATACAAAATACATTCAGTGTTGGTGACACAAAAATACATTTAAAATTGTCATGACACCAGTGATCCTAATGCAGCAAATAAATTGATGCAGTTACCTGCATAAAAGATAACTAATATAAGGACAAGTTAAGAATCGCTGATCTATATCAAAATATTCTAGGACTATTTACATAAAAGGAAAAGTATCCTTTCTTTTTGGCTGTTATCTAAAGAGCTTCAATTCGTAATTGCATCAAGCATAGAAAAGCCATATAAACAGGCTCTTTCGTTTGCTGTGACACTTTACGTCCCGTGGCTTCAGCCATTTAGCTTCTTGGAATCGAAACTCGTTTTAAAAATGGTATTAAATAAGCAATGACGCTTTAATATATGAATTTGTGTTGTTGTTGTGACTTATCTCACTTTTATGACACTAACATCAGCACAAGCCCATGGAATATTTCATGGCAAGGAGTGCAAGACAACGGCTGTCTTGCATTCCTTGCCATGAATAAGGCAAAGAGCCTTGAGCACACCATACAGGAGACGGCACGACTTTGTTCACTTCCGCACCCAATTTTGATGAAGAGGACCCCAGGGGCGTAATGGCAAACCGCACATTGAGTTGACCAATGTTAAACGAATTTCGCTTACTGCGCATGCCCAAAAGAGAATTTGGCGCAGTTACGACTTTGGCGCAATTTTAAAAGAAGATAAATACGGTATATGGTTGATATTGTGTTATCTTGGGCGTAAACAGTTCGAGGTTTTAAAACGTGTCAGGTTGTAAGTTGCTTCACTACTTGGAGTGTAAATGTCGATTGTAAATGACCCAAATTTTCTTCTAAAAAGGATTACAAAACAGGAAACATTACAATATATATTAGCTGATTATACTTCTGAGGAATAAAAACAATTGAGTGTTGACCATACGTTCCATGCATACATACTTTAACAAATTAAAGATTAAATCTAGTTTAAATTACTGAATTAAAGGTCAAATAAATTGCTTTAAGTAAATGAAATAGACTGTTGCAATTGTAAGCAGTCGATAAGACCTACATGACGAACAGGCTTGTGTAGGATTGCTTATGCTTAGTCGCCAGTATTTTCTCCCACGTCAGCGGTACACCATTGAGCATGCGCAGTAACCGAAATTCGTTAACATTGATCAACTCAATGTGCGGTTTGCCATTAAGCACCCCGGGGAAGGGGACGGGTAGGAGGGTCTCTCACCACTCTTTCCCTACTACAAACCCATGGAGGTAGGAAGTAAGAAGGAGTCGCCCTAAACAAGTTTCTCCGTACCCTGCTCTGAAGCACCGGCGATCCCTACGTGGTGACCAAAACATTGGGTCATTTACCATTGAGTTCTATGGGATTTGACGCGTTCGGGTGTAAATATTTTGTAATTACATCGCAAATATACATATAAATGTATATATTTTTCTTTTTCTACAACACTTCAGAGTCCTAAGTATGTGAAAACAACATATTTTTAAACAACATTTCATTCGGAACGGAATTAAATGCTATACTTTTCACAGGACAGTTTTCTCAGAATGGTTTAATTTGAATGAAATATTTTCACAAGTTTTCGTTAATTACATTAGAAAAAAAATTACGGTAATTTGATTTCCTACCTCCATGTACAAACCTCTCGAAAGGACTTTCGCCTCGCACGCAGTCAGCATCGCTAACCACTAACCCAGTTTAGCGGCACTTATGAATTTAACGTAGCTTTATGAATTTAACAGAGATGTTTGATATGCGTCACGGTGTTTGATATGCGTCACGGTAATCTTTCGGTAAAGAAACGAATGACTTCAGCATCGGTTTCCGTAAGAAACAATTTTAAAAAATGCCTTTATGGGCAGCGGCCGAGTGGTAAAGTTGACAAAATTGGTAGTTCGGTCCAGGGTTCAAATCTCGGCGAACGGGCTGGCTGGGTGGAGAAACGTTTCCACGAAGGCATTCCTTCCCTTAGGCAGATAGCCCTCCAGTGCTTTGTGGTAATTAAATAAACCAAACCAGACCTTTGTGGGTGAGGAACGAGACTTTGTGAAAGGATTCCACATGATCAACATCGTGTTTTTTCTAGATTTTTCATATGCATGCTTAAGCTATCCATTAAATCTTTTAATATACTCGCTAAAATCTTTGTACCTTTAAGAGGAATTTAATTTCAATTTCTTCTGATAAGTATTTAGTTATGTTTTGTCTTTAACGCTTTACTCATTTATAAAATTCTTCATTCAAACTCAAAACACGCCATTCAAATTAAGCGAAGTTATATTTGCAAACTGTTTGATTTGTTTTTATTTTCTTTATTCATGTGAAACAAATAAAAAGTTTAAATAACTAAATAACGAAAGTAATCTTCATATTGTTTATCATAAAAATAAGTAATTGTTAGATACTGCTTGGATTCATTCTGTGTTGTTAACAGAATTTATTTTTTATTTATTATTCTTTAAAACCTCAATTATTACTCTCTTTTGACTCACATAGAACTGCCTGAACATCCACCACAAAACTACAACGAAATGATTGTCCTCGTTCATTGCACTTTTATTGCTTTAGGACTTTGACAGATTTAACTAGAAGAAGAATCTTCGCAACATCCTTTACATTAAAATAATATCCATGCAATAAAACTGTAAATTTTATAAAATAAATGAATGCTCTTAGGATACTGCTAACAAACAAAAATTGTATTAACGACCAATAATTTTAAAATACCAATAATTTTCGACCAATAATCCTTCAAAATGATAATGCTTTTTTTTTATCTCATTGATGTAAAGTTGATAATTCAATAGTAATTAAGTTGTATAATTACTTCTTTTTGATTTCAACGAGAAGAATTTTTGTAAGCAGTAACAAGAGCAGAAATTCGTTTTCTTAGGATGAGAAGTACAAAATAATGCCCCGTTTTATATTAGGTATTTTAACTGAAAGAATGTTTCGTAGTTGTAATTTCGCCACGACATTTTTCCAAGCACTTATCTTAAAATTTTTCGGTACTTTTCCGTTCCGCCGGCGCAAATCTCGCCAAGCAGACTTTATTGGCGACAACATACAGTATTCACATAAAAAATGCTAACAAATATTAGTTCTAAGAATTTTTTATTTTGAAGGCATAAACATTTTAATAGCATTTAAAATTTTATAAAAAACCAATAAATAAAGACAATAAATTTGTGAAAAGACATTAATTTAAGAATTTAATTTGCTTTCATGGTTCAACAAGCTGATTCG